CCCTGTGCGTCGTTTATAGCTAGGTATTAATATTCATGTATATAAGTGAACGTACCTACGCCCTGTGCGTCGTTTATAGCTAGGTATTAATATTCATGTATATAAGTGAACGTACCTACGCCCTGTGCGTCGTTTATAGCTAGGTATTAATATTCATTTATATACAAGAACGTACCTGCGCCCTGTGCGTCGTTTATAGGTAGGTATTAATATTTAACTTATATACATAAATATTAATACCTACCTATAAACGACGCACAGGGCGCAGGTACGTTCATTTATGTATATAAGTGTTAATACCTACCTATAAACGACGCACAGGGCGCAGGTACGTTCACTTATGTACACGAATATTTCATAAGGCAAATTTTATTTATAAATTTCTAAGAGCTTATTAGTGAAAGTAAAGATGAATGTATAACAATAGGTCTAAAATGCTATATCCAGAGCCGAATAGGCCTTTCGCCCAATACCAGGGCTCATCAGGCCGGCTGTAATACGGGAAGCAGAGTAGTGGTTGAGATGCTATTTATAGTATCAAATTGGACGTTCAACAATTATCATTGTTTGAAATAGATTATGTTGGTGAAGTGTGGTTTTTACCAATTTTATTTAAGTCAGTTATATGGAAGACGACACGAAAAATATTGGTTTGGTTCGTTGTGATTTAACAGTAATAGACTAGTTGGAAGGCAGCTAGTCAACACCGCCAACTCATAGGATACTCTTTTACCAACGAATAGTGGGACTGACCGTAACATTATAATGCTCCCACGGCTGAAACGGCGAGTATGTTTGGTAACGGGGGTTCGAACCCACAACCCTTTACTCGGGCAGATGTGCTACGTTCTTAATAAAAACATGTTTCTGATAGACTAAGTATATTCAACAGTTAATTCAAACACAAGGACTCTACCCCAATACTTGTTGTCGTCAGTAAAGTGACTGCGGGTTATAGCCCCTCCCTCCACCAGTTTTTTGGAAGCAGTCTGAATATTTAAATGAGTTTTTTGGAAATAATTTAAACATTTAATTTAGTTTTTTGGAAGTAATTTAAACATTTAATTTAGTTTTTTGGAAGTAATTTAAACATTTAATTTACTTTTTTGGAAGTAATTTAAACATTTAAATTAGTTTTCTGGAAGTAGTTTAAACATTAGAATTAGTTTTTTGGAAGTAATTTAAACATTTAATTTAGTTTTTTGGAAGTAATTTAAACATTTAATTTACTTTTTTGGAAGTAATTTAAACATTTAAATTAGTTTTCTGGAAGTAGTTTAAACATTAGAATTAGTTTTTGGAGGAAGTTTAAACATTTAAATGAGTTTTTTGGGAAGTAGTTTAAAGATTTAAATTAGTTTTGTGGAAATAGTTTCAACTTTTGGGTAATACCTTGCCTGTTTTTAGTTTCAGCGCCACAAAAATTGAGTTGAATAATAAAAATCAGTTTTAATTATGTGTGTGTGTGTGTATCAGGTGGGGGGAGGTGTAATTTGGGGTTATCTCCACAACGTATTTATTGAACGCAGCCCGGTTTGGTACAGTTTGAATGTGAACGCTATAATTAGTGATGTATATGTATATAATTATTTAAGTGATATAAAGCGCCATCTGATTCACGTTTTTCTGTGTGATGCACGTTCTGTAATGTTCCACATTATTGTCTTTCTCACTTGACGCATAACTCATAAATGCCCGTAACGTAGGGAATGTGTATCAACAACAGACGTTTTAGAGTATTTGCCCCAATATTTGGCATATTTGACGTCCCATGGAAGTTACTTTATATAAATTATTCACGAAAATATCTGAAAACTGTGCTAGAAAAGTCGATATATATATATTGGAAAAAAATAATTCTGTATGTTATTATCGTGTCAGGCGATGTTTTACCGTTGTGTGTACAAACTTTTTTTCTGAACGATTTATTTACAACAAAGTCAATAATATATTAAGCATGTTGTTTGTTTGCATACAAAAAAAGGCTTAAAACAAGATTATTCCCCAGTTCAGTCAATGAGCAAAAATATGTCGTCAAAACTATATGAGGAAAAAAAGGATTGGTTTAATTGTTTTAAAGCACAGAGCTACACGATGGGCTATCTGTGCTCTGCCCACCACGGGTATCGAAACCCGATTTCTATTGTCGTACCGCTGAATCACTGAAGAAATCCATGCAAAGTTTAAGCCGATCAGATCAGTTTATTCTGAGTTTGTTCAAGTATTATACATTGAGGTATTTTTAGCGTGAAATATCCAATTAAACATAAGACTTGTAGGGTTACTTATTTGGTCTTGTTTGTTTGTTTTTTTTTGTTTTTCGCGCAAAGCTACACGAGGGCTATCTGCGCTAGCCGTCCCTAATTTAGCAGTGTAAGACTAGAGGGAAGGCAGCTAGTCATCACCACCCACCGCCAACTCTTGGCCACTCTTTTACCAACGAATAGTGGGATTGACCGTCACATTATAACGCCCCCACGGCTGAAAGGGCGAGCATGTTTGGTGTGACGGGGATTCGAACCCGCGACCCGCAGACTACGAGTCGAGCACCCTAACCACCTGGCCATGTATTTGGTCTTATCAAGTCTATAAAACTGATATCTATAATGCTTTCAAACGAAAATTGAAGTTAAAGTTGTTGAACATCAAAATGAAAATGAAGTTAAAATTTGTATAATCATAGAACGGAAACAAGGCTTAGATTCTTGTAGTCGTAAAACGGAAATAAAACTTACGTTTTGGAGCTCGGTACTTAAGATGGTGCTGAATGGTAGTGTTATTTTATTACAAGAATTAACGTTGATAACATTAATCACCTAATTTTGACTGGAGTTACTGATTTGTTTTGATTATTTAAGACAAAATCGTGCTGGTTTACGATCAATCAGCAGCCTGAAGAAATGGAGCAAGTCTTACGTTGCAAGTAAAGAACATCGTCTGGTTTATGGTTCTCGACCATAGAGTAATAATAACGAAATTGTTTTAACTCAGAGAAGCACTAGAAATAGCAATCAGTTTGTTACACTTCTGTCTGATATATAAAGCACTATTTGCTGAGAACAACTTGTGATAAGATTCACTGGCTTTCTCAAAAGCTTTCTAGTTAGTTTTTGAGATATGAACATGCTGGCATCCTGTGTAAGGGGCACTAAATTAATCAAAAAAAAATTATAAACTGAACCCTATTTCAGAATATACACGAATACGGTTTTTAGTAAGTGCCTCTATTTAATATAATTTTATTTTCTATCTTGATGGCCTGTGAATCTTGAGTTCGAATCCCGTTATTGAACATGCTCGCTCTTTCAGCCATGTGGGCGGTATAATGTGATGGTTAATACCACTAACCAATACCAAGAGTTGGTGTTAACTAGCTGACTTCCCTCTAGTCTATCACTTCCACATTACGGATGACCCTCACGTAGCTTTGAACAAACAAACAAACAAACAAACCTATCCTGATAGGGTTATAGCTACTACAGTGATTTTTGGGTATTTTATAAAGACTTAATTCTTTATTCTCGGGAAGTTTTAAGTTATATTTAATAGGGAAGACGTCCCATAATTCCATATTTGTGGCTAGAAGATACAAAAGATACTTTACCTTTTTTCATTGTGCACAGAGGTCCTATCCAAACTCCATTAGAACACTTTATTTTACACATTTTGTTTCGTTCTAGAGGCCCAATGACTCCAAGAAACTGAACTTCATAAACACCTTTAAAGTTCGTTCTTCCTCCTCCGGGTATTACTGATCCGTTAACAGTGAACTCTGGCGGTGCACAGTTTCTTACGGTGCTCCGTCTCTTGAATAACTAAAATATCAGGTAATCTTTCATTTCACTTTTGTGAAGAATCGAAATACATATAGTTAAATCACGCAGAATGATATGTCTTACTTTGATTCGTGTCCGTAATTATACAGAATGTATGTAACTTATTTTTTATTTTTAAAGATACATTATTTTATTTTATATTTGCTTGTGTCCTTATATTTCTTTCTCCATCAGAAAATATTTAACACGCAATAACCACATCTAAATGAAGAATAAT